TGGACTTTTCTCTCCCACCAAAGCGGCTAGGAAAGGGGATTTTCAACCGGGATACTTTGGACCCTCTGTTCGGCATTCTCAATGGGTTAGACAGGCTAGACGCTTGCAGGCCTATGCCCGCTTGACCACCAGTGCCAGTGCGGCATTGCCGATTTTGCGAGTTGAAGCATGGAGTGCAATTTGTAGGGCCAAAGGGTTTAGTCCTGACTTCTCAGTGTGGTGGCAGGAATCTGAATTCAAAACTGGCAATGCTCCCCATGTGTGTCCTCAGTCTCCTCCTGATGGTAATGTGGCTGTGGCAATGTATGAATCGCTGGTCATGGCGTTGCAAGCATTTGAAAAAGTTTTGAGAAACACGTCCCGCCAATATGCCAAGCTCAGGCGAGATCAAAATCCTGCATTGGTCTTCTCTGACATCAGACCACCGGCTGTCCCAGGGGTTGACATTTTGCTGCAGCCCATCAGGGCGGAGGTGGAGTCAGTTGAGCCTGCCGAGGGTAAGATAGTGTTGACTCATGACTGCTCTTTTGCTGAGGATTGTCCCATTGCTTGTGCCGGGGTACCGCTTGAGGTTATTCATCACTCTGCGGATGCAATTTGGGTTAGTGATGTTTCTGCTGTGGAAGTTGGGGCTGAAATCTCACAACAAAAATTCATTGGCACACATGCAGAACTGGAAACTGAGTTTGTTGCTGCCTGGAAGCAGCGATGGATGAGACATGGAGATGTTCCTGCTTCTCGATGGAATCAGATTGTTTCATTTGCCCACCAGAGGCTTCCCCGTTTGCAGTTGCAGTGGCCTGCTTTGACTGTTCCTGACCTCAAGCAGGTGCTGCGCCACAAAAAGAAGTCCACGTCACCAGGTTTTGATGGGGTCACCTTGTTAGATTTGCAACGGATGCCTGACACCGTATTACAAGCCTTTTGTGACATGTTTGCCCAGAGTGAATGTACTGGCTCGTGGCCATCTCAACTTGTGGATGGCAGGGTGATTAGCTTGGCTAAAGTTGCCTGTCCTGGTTCGCCTGCTGATTTTCGCCCTATAACTGTGTTTAGCCTCCTGTACAGGGTTTGGAGTTCCTATCACTCCAAGCAAGCTTTGGCTGCCCTCGAACATGCCTTACCAGACACCCTCTATGGGGGGAGACCGGGAAGATATGCCGCCCAGGTTTGGACAAAACTTTTGTGGTCTATTGAACATTCTTTCCAGCATGACATTGATCTCACTGGAGTTGTTGCGGACCTTCAGAAGGCATTCAACATGATCCCGAGACTGGTAATTTTTGAAATCGCAGGTCACCTTGGCCTACCAGGACCAATGCTTGTCGCATGGGCTGGGGCGTTGGCAACCATGCAAAGAAGGTTTTTGTTGCGAGGGTCACTCACACATGGAGTACCCAGCGTTACTGGCTTTCCGGAGGGGTGCGGTTTGAGTTGCGTGGCTATGGTCATTTTGGACTTTGCATTTCATGAGTGGCAGCAGGGTTTTTTTCCGATGTGCACGACGTTGTCTTTTGTGGATGATTGGCAGGTTGTTTGCACTCACAGCTCCCTCCTGACTGGAGCCAAACAATGTCTTGACCGGTTTGTGGAGGCAGTTGATCTTCAACTTGACTCTAGAAAGACCTATGCCTGGTCCATCACTGCTGAGGGTAGGCAGCGCCTCCGAGGTGAGGGATTTCGAGTTGTCCTTGCAGCAAAAAATTTGGGTGCTCACGTTCAATTGGCCAAGAAGCACACAAATGCTTCGTTGACGGACAGAATGAATTCCATGCCTGCTCTGTGGCACAGATTGCGCCTCTCCACTAGCAGCTATAGAGCGAAGGTCAGGGCCATCCTGGTTGCAGCTTGGCCAAGGGCCCTCCATGCGGTGGCAGCTACAACTGTCTCTGATGCGGCCATGCACACACTGCGATCAGGGGCTATGAGAGGATTGGAAATGGACAATGCTGGGAGCAATGCGTGGCTTCAGCTGGGGATGATCGAACACCCGTTGCTTGACCCGTGCTTTTGGAGCATTGTTCAAACCATCAGGGGAGCCAGGGATTGTGGTGATCCGGGTCACATTGAACAGACTCTGTTTGCTGTTGCTCATGGAGAGCTTGACTTGCCTGACACATGTATCACAGTGACTTTGTTGACTCGCCTGCAAACCCTTGGATGGAATGTTGCTCATGGAGGTAAACTTTGTGATGAGTTTGGCCGATTCAGCCTATTTGAAACCAGCTTGGCGGAAATTGTTCTCAGAGCCCAATGGGCGTGGCAAAGGGTCGTTGCTGAGCAGGTCTCACATAGGGAGGGTTTTAAACATCTTCAGTATGCGGATGCTGCGGATACCAGAGCTTTCCTGAAAACACTGCCCCCAGAGGATCAGGTGCTTTTTCACAAATGCCTTAATGGATGTCACATCACGCAAGATGGGAAATCCTACTGCCAGGAGGAGGGGTCTAAGTTGTGCCCCCATTGCTCGTGCACTGACTCTAGGTTCCATAAATTTTGAGTTTGTGAACAGTATGCGTCAGCTCGTGAAGGTGTACCACAGGATGTGCTTTCTCTCATTGCGTCTGCACCTGACTATTTGACATGTTATGGTTGGAGTGTGAGGCCATTCACATTGCATTCTTGGCTTCAAGAGCTTGCGAGGGTGGAGATTTCTGTCCCTGCCCCTTTGCAGGATCAAGGGGGAGATGTACATGTGTTTACGGATGGCAGTTGCCTCAATCAGGGTTTTCCTTCATGTAGACTTGCAGCATGGGCGGTTGTACTGGCTGATGCTAGGGGTGTCACACCGGGTCAGGTCCTTGATGCGGCCCCCCTACCGGGCATGATGCAAAGCTCCTATCGCGCGGAAATTTTTGCTGTTCTTAGAGCCTTGAACTGCATGAGGTTGCAAAGTGCCAGAGTTGCCATTTGGACAGACTGCAATGCGGTTGTGAAACGCTTTGGTAGACTTCTTTTGGGGGGGACCTAAGCCCAACAGTTCACATGCTGATTTATGGATGGCTATTTATGAGTGTCTTCGTGATTTCAAGCCTGGACAGGTCAGTATTACTAAAGTTGCTGCTCATCAGAAAGTGCAACATTCGATGACTCCCTTAGAAGAATGGTGTGCATTTCACAATTCCATGGCAGACCAGGCGGCCAATCAGGCCCAATGGCAGCGACCGGCTTCATTCTGGCAGTTGTATGACAAGCATGTTGGCTCCACGATAGCATGTCAATCGTTTTCGCGCGCTGTTCAACAGGTGCTCTTGGCTGTGAGCAAAGCAGCCGTGCGTGAAAGCAATCCAGTTGATGAAACTGAAAGGGCTGAGCTGGGATCTCCTGCAGTTGTCCCAGAACACACTTGGAAGCCTTTGGGTGTCTTGCAGATTCCTCCAGCCGCGGTTAGGTGGTACGGTGATGATGTGGTCCGCACCATTCTTTCTTGGTACTGGCAGTCAGTGTTTCAGAGTACACATGAGGTTGTCTGGGTATCACAGTATCATCTTTATCTGGATTTCGAAATGTCTGGTGAGAGAGGCCCAACGAAGTTTGATGCCTGGATGTCCGGCAATGCCATGCCGCATTTGGACTTGCTTTCGGTGCCATTTCAAACTCGAGCCAGATGGTTTAACAAAGTTCTCAAAGAAAGCCTAAGGCATTTAGGACAGAGCTGTGCCTTTGCATATTGCAGACCGCAGTCAAGAGCGGTATTTATGCACACGGGATGTCTTGCACTTCCTTGGGATCCGGTGAGGATAGACTGTATCGATGAATGGTTGCTGAGTTTCGTACCTGGTGGCATTTTCCGTACGGCCAAATCACTGGAGAACTTACCGTTGGCTTCCCGACATAGGCTGTTTCCTAAGGTCTTGGTCTCACAGGCCTAAACGCCCGAAAGTGGGCTGCTGGCGTTCGACTCCAGTGGCGCATAAGACAATGTGGGACAATGTGGTGGTTTGGAACATTTTTTATTTTTCCATATATTGGGAATAATAGTCCCAACTGACTAATATTTTTTCAGAGGGGTTGAAACCACCAACCAGTATTGTTTTTAACCATGAACAACGTTACCAAGAATTACAAACCCCAGGTTTGTGGCTTGACCCCCCTGCGAATACTCACCCTCACATCCCAATATACATATACTATACGATGTGACATATATATATAATATATATATAATATATATAATATATATATAATATATATAATATATATATAATATAATATTTAATATATATATATATATATAATATAATATATATATATATATAATATGTATATTATATTATATTATATTTTATTACATTATATTATATTATATTATATTATATTATTTAAATATAGATCATGTTTTTTTCCATATGCTTCCCTATATACGCAAACGCTATGCAATCATGGTGTATTACCATGATGATGCTTGTTGTTTTAGTTGCGCTATGAGATTTTCCTTAAATGTGATACATGTTTGTTCACGCCACCTAAAATGGCGTGATGTGAGAAACACTTGATGGCGGTCATGGTTAACAGAACCTGTATGCACCAAAATGATACGTCCTCACAGAGCCCAAACAAATGTTGTACTGCAACATACTGCAACATTGTTCAATATTAACCAAACCACTTTGGTTAAACATATCCCATATACGGTTGCTGCTTAAATTCCCTGAGCATCACTTGAAACAAGCAATGTTGACTTGTTGAATCATTGTGTTCCACAAATTACGCACATATATGTGGAGACACCATGAGACACCCATGTAAATACTCACCATATACATCCATATATATATATATCCATATATGTATATATATATATATATTTATAAATATGCATATTATATATATATATATAGTTTTCGAAAATCATATTTTTCCCCATTATAGAAACACATCATTGGATTAGTTGAAGGGAACATCTACAGGAAACCATGTTTTTTTTACCTACCAAACTATCGGCTTTGGCTCTGAACAAAAAGCCTTCAACCAATCCCATGAAACAAGTCGCCACTGAGGACGCCTTGGTCGCCTCCAATCCTCTACACCGCGATGCGGTCTGGCACAACGGCGGCATCCCGTTGGTGGAACCTCGGCGCAATGAAAGGCTTATTGGGTATGCCCCTAGTAATATAGATAGATAATTATATATATGTGTGAGTGTGTGTGGGTGTGTGTGAGTGTGTGTGTGTGAGTGTGTGTATGTATATGTATACATATACTGTATATATATATATATAGATATTGTATATATAAATATAATATACAATTTTTTAATATAATATAATATATATATATACATGCTACATGCATATAAGTTGTATATATATATATGTGTGTGTGTATATGGAATAGATGGAGGTTTATTAACGTGGTAAACAGTGGTAAACCACTCCCAGTCTGGTAAGTTTATGGCGGCGAATCCAAGAATCAAGTTGGGTCGAAAAAGTTGGGTATACCCGTGGCAGCAGGATGATGGGGAAAGTAATACCCTCTGGTAATTTGTGAGATAGCTATTGAAAATGGTCATAGAAATAGTGGATTTACCCACTAAAAATGGTGATTTTCAACAGCTATGTTAGTTTACCAGAGAATATCTTGCGTATCTGGATGAATTTGATCATGACCTCACGTGACGTCATTAAAATGATGGTCCATAGCTGGCCGCACTTTTCGGCTCTTTTCATAGTGATTCAGCCAAACATTATCCAAAATTTGCAGGTCTATTCCTAACAAATCTGAGGTTTATGAACATACATATAGTGGGGTCTCTTACCAAAATTGGAGGTTTATTACATTACGGATGGTTTTCCATATGTAGATGCACATCTGATTTGGGGATTTCCCGGCCAACCATGTTTGATTTGTCAACTTCATGAGTTTCAAACTAGCTGGCTTAATAGAAATTTTAGTGTTAAATTTAAAATATATAATTTCTACTGTTTAGATTCAAATTTATTGTTTAATCTTAGATGTTTAGTTTTGAAAAAAACTACTGTTTAAGATGTCTTTTTGGGATGACCCAATCCATTGTCAGAATTCCTGGCAACCAGGTCTTTCTGGACTTAAGATCAGTGGAAACAAATGGGTCAGTATAGGCACTGACTATTGTATATACAAATAAGATATGCACATATATATATATATATAGATCAACATGTAATACCATTGAATTTGCTAGTTGCACAACCAGCCCTGTTGGATGAATGAGGGTAATGCGTTTTTGCCCGTTTCTTAAACAAATGAAAGCTAAGATAAGACACAATTGCTATGTTCTGCATTTATTGTTTGCAGGTTGTTTGCATCCCATGTTTTACTGCCAAGAGTCACCAGTTTCTATTGGTTTGATCACTGTCTTCCCAGGTTGAAGTCACACTCTTACCTCATTGAAGCAAATCCGTCCTTTCCCTACCAAACATCACATCAAATCCCTGTGTTTGCTGTCCAAAGTTTTATGATGTTTTATGTTTGCTGCTTTCAGTTCCACTTTCGCGGTTTCCTGGTTTTGCTGAAGGTGATCTTTGTTCTTTTCCCAGAGCTTTCGTCCACTGGGGAACCACGTGTTTTCACTTTTTTGATATGTTTAACTTCAACGTTTTCTGCTGCGTCCCTCGAAAAAAAATCTCAAAGGTCACCATGCTGAAAGATGGTCCTCCGGAGCAGTTGCAGCGCGCCTGCAGCTTGCTGCAGACCTTGTCCAGTCAGCGAGAAGCGCAGATGGCTGTCGCCTGGGTAACCTGGCTGCGGTGCGGGGTAGCGGAGTCTGTAGGTGGCATAGAGGTAAGACATGCCACACACGTGCCTGTATATAGAGATATATATATATAGGAGGGCTATTTATTTTTGTTTTTTTTGCGGCAGGTTTTTTTTTGGGGGGGTTCCTGGTTCTATACTTTCCTGCTTCTGCTTCTCTGCTTTTCTGCTTCTTTGCTTCTCTGCTTTTCTGCTTTTCCTGCTTCTTTGCTTGTCTACTTCTCTGCTTTTCTGCTTCTCTGCTTTTCTGCTTTTCCTGCTTCTTTGCTTGTCTACTTCTCTGCTTTTCTGCTTTTCTGCTTTTTGCTTTTCCTGCTTTTTGCTTTCCTTCTTCTCTGCTTTTCATGCTTCTCTGCTTTACCTGCTTCTTTTCTTTTCTGCTTCTCTGCTTTCCCTGCTTCTCTGCTTTTGTGCTTCTGTGCCTTTCTACTTCTACTATTCTACTTGTTCTTTTCTTCAGTCATGTGTTTTGCTGCTCTACTTCCTGCTCCTTTGCTTCTCTGCTTCCTGTGTTTAGTGCCTCTTTGTTTTTTTCTTTTCTTTTGCTTTATTCTCTCCTGTTTGTATCCCAAATGAAACCCTAAAGACCCTAGGTGAAACCCAAGGAAACCCTAAAAAAATCCTAATAAGAACTCCTGATAAGAAACCCCTGCATGAAACCCTAAATGAACCCTAAAGAAACCATATATGAAACCCTAAGAAACTTTGAATGAAACCCTAAATGGCATCCTAAAGAAACACAGAACGACACTCTAAAAAACCCTGAATGAAACCCTAAATGAATCCCAAACTGAAACCCTGAAGAACCTGTAAACGAAACCCTAAAGAAACCCTAAATGAAATCCTAAAGAAACCCTAAATGAAATCCTAAATGAAACCCTAAATGAAACCCTAAAGAAACCCTAAATGAAACCCTAAAGAAGGCCTCAATGAAACCCTAAATGAACCCTAAAGACACCCAAAATGAAACCCTAAAGAAGCCACAAAGAAACCCACATGAACGTTTGGAAATCCTGATAAGAAATCCTGATAAGAAACCCTGAAAAGAAACTCCTAATGAAGCCCTAAATGAAACCCTAAATGAAACCCTAAAGAAACCTTACATGAAACCCTAAAGAAACCTTAAATGAAACCCTAAATGAAACCCTAAAGAAGCCCCAAAGAAACCCAGTTGAACGTTTCCTGGTAAGACACCCCCAAATGAAACCCTAAATGAAACTCTAAAGAAACCCTAAACCTAAAGAAACCCTAAATGAAACCTAAAGAATTCCTAAAGAAACCCTAAATGAAACCCTAAATGAAACCTTAATGAAATCCTAATTAAACCCTAAATGAAACCCTAAATGAAAGCCGAAAGAAACTCTCAAGAAACCCACATGAACGTTTGAAGTACCAAAATGTAGCAAATACCATGCAAATGAGAGGTTGAAGTGCCAAAATGTGTCAAATCAAATACTATGCAAAATGGAAGGCGGACACTGCCAAATGTAGCAAATGCCATGCAAAATGCAAAGTAACCATGCCAAAATGTAGCAAACACCATGCAAAATGCAAAGTAACCATGCCAAAATGTAGCAAACATCATGCAAAATGCAAAGTAACCATGCCAAAATGTAGCAAATACCATGCAAAATGACAGATTCTAGTTCCAAACTGTTGCAAATACAAGGCAAATGGTACCAAGAAAGAAAGAAAGAAAACCAAAAACCTGAGCCAAAAAAAACATCCAAAAACTAATCTGAACCAGTCTGAACCCTGCATGTATGTATGTATGGTATGCCGCAGAGGCACGCTCATATCATCTTAGATTGATAGACAAGATGCCATAGGATAAGATAAGAGGATCAGATTCGAATAGATTAGTTCAGAAGAAGTTACCCTCTGGTAAATAAACATAGACCCTGAAAATAGCCAATTGTTAATGGAAACTAGTCTTCCAACCCCTATCTGCCAGGGTCTATGTTAATTTACCAGAGGGTAAGATAAATTCAACATCAGAAGGTAAAGTAAGATAAACCATCATATTGCACCTTAATGTAATATCAATATCATATAATATATAATTAGCAATGATATCAATATAAGATACCCTTATTTAACATAGCCTAGCCATGGAAAATGGCCCATAGAAATAGATGGTGTACCGTTCTTAAAAATGCTGGATCTTTCCATGGCCATGTTAAATAACCAGAGTGTACTATAAGATAGGTATCATGTGCAGCTGTTTTTTCCGTGTCACTCAAGGCCGGTGCCATTCCCATCTTAGTGCAGCACCTGAACCATGACCTCAGTCGAGTTCGCGTGGAAGCGGCCAGAGCTTTGTGGAGCCTGGCGCAGAATAACATGGAAACTTGGTGCGGTGCCAGGAAATTTTATGAACATGCCAGGAAAATGCCGGGAAAATGCCACTTTGATCAGTTTGCCAAAGTGAACTTGTGATGTTTTCATTATTTTCCCCATGATTTTCTGGGTATGGCGCGGCCGGACTGTCCGACCTCAGCATGACATGGCATTCCCACTTTCCGTAGAAAGTTTACACAAATCCAATAGTTATACAACACATGGCATCCCAAAGGTTTTGGTGCTGAAATTTCACCAACAAAAACATGCCGTTTCTTTTTTTTCACCCTACAGCAGCCATCTCGCCGAGGACAACCAAACGTCCATCCTGCAGCAGGACGGGCTACGGCGCCTGGTGGCGCTGCTACAGGGAGCGGCGGAGGCCCAAGAGCCGGCGCTGCTGTTGCTGCTGGCACTGTCGCAGGGCCATGAACAGCAGGAGCTGGGTAATCCCGTGGACTGGATGGGTTGAAGCATCAAAAATGAAGGTGAAACCCCAAGAAATCATAGGGAAGCAACATGAACCAACACAGAAAGAAAGGTAAACTGCTAAATTAAGCGGGGATATAGGTATATATATATATATATATGAATCTAAGGTTGGCCCAGGACAGGGTAATTTTTTGTTGGCATTGAAAAACTTGGGAGTTTAACAGCTTAGCAGCTTTAACCAACGAACATGATGATATAACATGATACAACCAACGGCTTCAATGGATATTTGGTGAACAGTTTTGTTTGCTATTGTGATGGATGAATCTACATTGAAAAGGTTTCAAAGGTTGGCAATCATTTTTGGCCGGGACCATGTGTGTGTGTGTGTATTTTGGTTTGTTAGGGACAAACACTGAATTCATTCCATTGTGCTCTCTGAAGATAGAGGTAATAGGAGCTGGATTTGGGTTTCGTGTATCAGGAAACGAGCATGAGAAGCTGGTCCCGGCCCATTTTATGCCAGTTTTCCTTGGTTTTTTCAATCGTTGTTTTAAAGTTCAAAGATGCCCAGCCCAAGTGAGGGCACCCTCCGCTGGGTGGGATGCATCGTTTCCTAAACACATCCCCCCATTCACCATGTCACCGGCAGGACAACATCACACGTGCAGGCGCCATTCCCCCGCTGATCGGCTTGTTGGATCGCATTGAGTTGCGTGAGCTGGCGGCGGCGGTGCTGGCCAAACTGGCGCACGAACATGAGGACAACCAGTCAGACACCCGGCAGCACAAACGGATGCAATGGGAAGGATCAACCCGAAACGACTGGGGCCATGGGGCACTAAGGCCATTGGGGCGGCTACAGGAGCAGTGCCCAAATTGTATGGCCCTCAGCCGGAGGTGAAATATATAGCAAAAGTAGGGTTTTTACTTTGGCCTGCAACATTGCAAGAGCTGGGAGTCAACTGAAGACATGAAAATGCACTTTGATTGAGATGGGCTTCAGATTTCTCATCGGATGTCTTACCCTTGATTTGTGAAGCGTTTTTGAGAGGGTATTCTGACGTTTGCTTTTTTTTTCCTGGAATTACTTCGGATCAGCACGAGACCAGCCCCTAAAAAACTCTTGGAGCCCAGTGGCCAGTTCACCTCCAGTTCAATCTTAAAAAATGTGCCTTATTTTCCCCTTGTTTTCCATGAAGCCATGGACATCTTAGGGGTTGACCGGGTTGAGCCGAGGATCAAGCTGCTCAGCGACGAATCCCCCAGCATCAGAGAAACTTCTGCTGGTTTGCTCCATGCACTGGTGGCAGGCGACTGGTGAAGATTTGGCAACTGGACATGGGTTTCTATGAGAATATCGTCCACAAATTTGAGGAATTGCCCATTGCCATGTTGGATGGAGTGGTGGTGTCAGATAGGGTCATGGAATGTGGCCGTGAATTAGTGAATTGCCTGTCAGAATGGCCATTGACCTACAAAATGTCTCGACAACTTGGGTTTACCCCAGGTACTTTTCGGAATGCTCAGAGTTCTTTGGGTCCCCAGTTGTTTTTCCATATGTTTTCACCCCAACCAGGTGGACATGGCAAAAACGTGATGTCCATCTCCCGTAGCGGTGGAATTCGGCCCAGCCGCTCGGCGTTCATCTTGTGAGCAAATCCAAGAGCAGGTGGCAGTTGTACAATGATGAATCGACAAAGATGCGCGCGCAGTTCTTCTGATAGGCTAGAATCGGCTAAAAAGGTGAGGGTTGCTTGTTGATGATCAAACGTCAGAGTGTTGATTCAACAATCCAATTCCCCTAATATTTTTGTATATTTTTCACATCTGTCTGCAGTATTGGATCTGTTCATTTTGGGGGGCCAGATGATGGTAATTATTTAAAATTAGGTCAGCAGTTATAGCCATTCCAAAAAGGACAAGTGGCAACCCAAGAGCTTAGATGTTGAATGCATGTCCAGGTGTTCCCGAGAGGTTATTACCCTCTGGTAAACAGCCACATAGCTATGGGAAATCATGCTATTAATGGGTAAACCCACTATTTCTATGGCCATTTTCAATAGCTTGTTGTATGTTTTCCAGAGGGTAACATATATTCAAAGTATATTCAAAGTCACCATTGTGAATGCATCCAGAGGTTTCCCACTTTTCTGTACCACTAAGCATGGGATCTCCGAGCCCAGGCTTAGAGCTGCTGAAAGACCAGAACCCTGGAACTCGGGAAGATGCGACAGGCGGAGAAAGATCCGTGGTGCTAATATGGTGTTTGCCATGGGTTTAAGATGGTTTTATGATGTGCCATATTTGTTATGATGTTGTGTGTATATATATGTGTGTGTATGTATGTATATGTATACAGCTATTTGTTAATGTCTACTTTATGCTAGTTGAATAAACCATGATATATATATATATATACATATTTATAGAGAGAGATTTGCCATTGGTTTAATGATTTTAATGTTGGTCATAGCAGCCCATAGCAGCCACCAAAAAGATAGAACAATGATTTATCACTATTTTAGTTGAAATTTACTTTTTGTATGTTTGTGTCGGTGGGCTACTACATTTAGATTCCACGATCCCAGGCATGCCATAGCAGTTGGAAGGATTCCACCACCATCGGGGCCTTTCACCTTTTAAGGACTACAGAACTGCCCAGCCTCGCCTGGGCAGGTTTGCTATCCATCTTAGCCACCAACGCAGACAACCGTGCCGTGATCGCAACCTGCCTGCAGATATGATAGAGAGTGAAACCCTGTGCACAAGCCTAGTTTGGTCGGTTTCTGATTTTCTGGCTTCTTCCATATATATTTCCCATCAAATTTTCCATATATTTCCATATTCCATACGTTTTCCCATGTTTTTCCCATATTTTCCCTATGTTTTCCCAGGTTTTTTCCATCTGATTCCGTAACGGCGGTAACGGAGGACCTGCCCCCGAGGCCAAGATGGGCGCCATCCCGTTGCTCATCGATGTGGTGAACGACACGGACCACGTGGCACCGGCAGCCAGACGCCTGTCCCCGCATCCAGCGGGGTGGAGGGTGGTGGAACTGGAGCACTGGAACTGATAATGTGGGTAAAACAGTGACTGGTTGGTGGTTTGGAAATGTGGATTAACTATGGTTTATGGATGTTTATGGTAGATATAACTATAGTTAATGGGGATTTTAGTGGTTTATAAAACAACAAACACTGGTTGGTGGTTTGGAATATGGCTTTTATGATTTCCCATATATTGGGAATGTCATGATCCCAACTGACGAAGTCTTATTTTTCAGAGGGGTAGAAAAAACCACCAACCAGATGACTATTAATGGGTAAAATATATGAAGATATAGGCTATATAGGGATAACAGTAGGATAATTTACATGGGATGATTTAATGGGATGATCTAATGGGATGATTGGGAAAATAATGACTACAATTGTGTAATATAGGGATAATAATGGGATAATTGTGGGAGAATAATGGGATAACCATAATAAACCACCATTATTATAGGTGGTATGGTATAAACCATTCCAAGTCACGGGTGGTCTATGGCATTGTTTTACACACATTGTATATAACTATCGGGGTAAATTATTAGGACCTCACGTCGCGACCTCACTATAATAATGATGGTTTATGGGGAATCATCCCAAAATGGCCGAACTTTTCGGGTTAACTGAAAGCTGATAATTTACGGAGAGCAATGATGGATGCCTTAAATACAGGTATAACTATGGATGATGATGACGATGATGATGATGATGATGACGACGACACACACACACATATATATATATATACATACACATTATGTATATAGCAGATCATCTAGCTGACTACTGGGATAGCTAGTTCATTGTTGGTGAATTGTATGTATGACAGGGTTATTGTACGTGTGGTGTAAGGGCCTATATTGGCAAATACGTCTCAGATCACGTGACCCTTCCTGCGGGCGCCTACCTCATTACTGGCTGATGGCAGCTACTGATCAAGGAAGAAGTCATGACAGATGTCTTCCTATGTAGCCCAGCACAGCAAACATGAACAAGATGAGTACATGGCTTAGATGATGAGTGTTCTGATATTTTCTTTATATCCGTTTTCTTTTTAAAAAAACATAGTTGCAACTGATATCATGTTTATAACCATAGTTAATAGAAATAGGACTTGGTACTTTGCCGTGTTTTCTTAACGTAGCATCCCAGTCACCTGGGCTACCCCCCCAGGAAAACATGCGGCAACTGCGCTGGGAAACTTGGCGGTGATGAACTCCAGCTACTTGGGATGCAGATGAGTGGGTTGCCACAATGCTCCAAAAAGAACGTGTGCATGAAATCGATGAGGAACATATATTGATGTACTGTATATAGAATAATGCATGTAAGTAATTACACAATCCTGTATATTAACACACATGTTTTTATCATAATGTATATATATATATATGTGTGTGTGTGAGGGAGATTATGTAACGATGATGGCCATACTAACAATCTAGCTTATAACAAATAATATAGAGCAATAAGTTCAATTCATGTCACATGTGGCAAAGCCAAAACCACAAACCGCCCCCAAGATCACCAGTCTGCTGGGTGTCCCAAGCATCCCCAAATGGTAGTTGTTGATGGCAGCCAGAGTGTTTCACATTGAATCACTATTACATAATCATTATATTAATCATTATTCATCACTATTATATAATCACTATACGAACATTATTAATTAATCATTATCCCACCATGTGTAGTTGTTTTTTTTCCTTTCTTGTTGCCCCAAAGCCTTACTCATCCTATGGTTTAATACTGAAAATCACAATAAACATTGCTACATGCTCCTATGATTTTTCCTTTTATATACCATATGGTTTGGTCCCATATTTTCCCACACACATTTCAATTCATTTCACAGAAAATCCAATCAAATCCCGCAAAATCTCGTCAAATCCCACTAAATCTCCATCAAAATCCCATTGGGTTTCCCACAGCTATGGGATCATCACAATAAATCTACATGAATCTGGGTAAATTGTAACGACCTCACTGTTCTCCCTCACTGGATTAAAGGTTAGATTGCGGGGAATCATCCCAAAATGGCCGCAAGTTTCAGGTACGGTCAGCTGGGGTTGGGCCCGCTAAGGAAGATTGGAGGCCGTCTTTCAGGTTAGTGAATTATCATATATTTAATTTACCCACATTAATGCTGTAATTTTCGATGACCTCATCCATCTGATCCAGGTAACAAGGAGGCCATCGGTCAGTCAGGCGGTATTCACGCCTTGGTGAATCTGCTCAGTGACGGACCGGTACGGTCACAGTTGTGGGGCCGTTTAAGATAGCTATTGAACATGGCCATTTATAGTGAGTTTTCCCGTTAAAAATGGTGATTTTCCATAGTTATGTTAGTTTACCAGAGGGTAATCCCCGAACCCCCCTATGAAACAGCCCCGTTCAACGCAACCATGGTGGATGTAGGGAATTTCCACATTTTTTTGGGACGCAATTGGGGTGTTTAATATGAACGGGTGATGGGATTAATCCATGTGGGAGAAATGCCGAAGCCTGGAAGAATGCAACCTGTAAGGGAAATTCTCCCAAGATGGTCGAAGTTTTCAGCTTAGTGAATGATCATTTCCCCAGATACATGGGGAAATCATGGGATAGAACGGGATATTCCCAAATCGCGGGATATGACATGGAAATCATCGGAACATCATGGGGTAGAGATGGGTATAATACCCAACGATATCTAATTTTGGGGATGGAAATGATTGGCAGATCCACGAGAAACCACCGTTTTCTTTAATGATTTTTGGTATATAGTGATGAGGCTGAGGCTGAGGGTTGGGATTTGGGGGTCCAATGGTGATTTATATAAGGAGATACGAACAGGGATAGAAAGGGGAAATAGTGCGATTTAATGGGACACCAACTATTTCCGATTTGGGTTTGAATGGGATTAGAATAGGTATATCAATTGGATTAATCATGCCCCACGGTTTTTAAATTACCCCTTTTTGAAGCCCTGATTTCAGTAGCATTGGAAATATTCATTTTCGGGGACTGTGGTTGGCCCAATAGGGGTGGTATTTAATGGATGATCCCGGGGAAGGGATAGTGGATAAATAAGTATGTTATATGATGTAATTAATTGTACTTATATAAAAATAGTACATCAATATGTCTTAAATCTGATGATAGTCGGGTTTTAATGTACTTAGATGATATGTTTAGTGGATTTTCAATGAAGGTCATACCCTGACTTGGAAACGAACACCTATGCTGGTAGGCACTCATCAAGTCATCATGATTCATCGTGCAAGGCATGATCATAAAGCACCATTGAGATCCATTGAGATCCATCCTGAATATCTTTTATATCATATACATCCATGATTACATGCATATTATATATATATATTATATTCATATCGTATTTCTTCATGTTGTTTTGCCATTTTCTTGCTCTTAATGATCATTTTAGCAACTTTTAATCATGACTCTAGGCGCGGGTTTTGCCTTCGTTGAATCCCATGGTAATAAAACCGATCCATCCAGGAGACGCCTTGGTCCGTGAACGTGCTGCCTCTGCGTTGGGCGCCTGGGTGGAGATAGGGCGCCACGTCTTTCGGGGGATGTGATGCCTATGAAAAAAAATCCTTCCAGGAGTGGCATGAGATTCTGCATGATATCGAGCTGACGAGCTGACGTTTGGTGTGAAATTTGTGGAATTTGATTGTGGGTTCCTGTTTCCACTGACCGATAGCCTCCAAGCAGTGCCAAATAAACCTGTAAGTCCACAAGATTCTTCTTTTACTGTAAGACTTTCCATCACCGGCATCTTACAACTTCCACATATATAAGTTTTGGTGGGTGACTGACCTACTTCTCAGCAGATGAAGACATACAACCTTCAGCAAGCATTTGCAGCCTAATCCGTTCAATGAATATTGTAAAAAATGTAAAACAGTCAAAATCCAATGGGTTGCATCTTGCAATATCCATGACATGAGGAACTTAGGAACTGCTTGCACAACCATAATATCATCAGTATCAATACTGCCACAAGATCCATAACTATTGATTTAGAAAACACATGGCCATACTTTAAATCCCAGGATGTGAAGACTTTTGCCCTGCTGTCAGCGTGCCCGTGGTCCAGCCTAGGAACCTTGTGCGTCCTCAGTGACCAGAACAAGTCTTGGATGGTGGAAGCAGGCGCCATCCCTTTGCGCCTTGGCCATGGACAGTACGGTGACCATGTCTTTCATCCCAGTTTTGGGTTTTCCTCGATGCCAATGATCCTAGTGAAAGTTAGGATCTATTAATATTTTATGCTATTTCCGGGAGTTGTACTGTATGAGGTTTATGTTTTTTCTCTTATCTAGTTGACCAAGCATCCTGGCGTCATCTCAAGCTGCTTTGGGGGAGGTAGTAGGACCGGAACCGCAGGACCCTCGGTTTTCGGCCAGAAAAAAAAACATGGTTTTCTGTGTGTTCTTTGAATGAACCCATTGAATCATTACCCATAGATGTTCCATGATTTTCCTGTATCGAATCCAACTGTTGACGCTAAAAAGCAATAAGCATCATATGAAATCCATGTGAGTAACCGACAAAGTTAGCAAAAGACTAAAGTAATTGGTAGGGGGTGGACTTGGGATGTTCAAATTTGTGTGAAAACCTTCACAGTCGATAGGGGACCACCCACTTACCGATACCCTATTTTTACACATAGCATGGAAGTACAAACCTTCACAACCGATAGGGGACCACCCACTTTGGCCATGTCCATTGCGAGTAAGAAGCAATTTTGTCCGCCACTCATGTCATCAAGAAAAATCCATACATTCAATGGATTGGTTAAAGGGAACATTTGCAGGAAAAACCCATATTTAATGGGAAAAAAAACCCATAGTTTCCGCTTAAGATTTTCCCAACAAAACCAATAATACATCTGGCGTTCAACGTCCCATGATTGACGCTGAACTCGGCGTTCTCGGCGGATCCGAGGTTGGTGGAGCTGTTGAAGGACGAGATCAGCAAGAAACCCGCCGTGGTGGTGCTCCGAAGCCTGGCTGAGGAGAATGAGGTGCGAAGCGGTGATGGATGGTGACGGGGTGACATGATCCCGGATGATTTTCCCACTAAATCAATCGACATTTTGGGGGGTTTTCCGGCATGAAATCCTAAATGTTTGATGCTCAAATCACCTCAAATCGGTGAAATCCGCGAAATCCCATTCTCCCACGGTTTCCCCCAGAGGTTCCCGACATTTTTCCGCGGCGCCGCCAGGTGCACCGCCGTACCATCAAAGAGCGCTGCGCTGAAGGTGACCTGGCTGCGCTGCTGAAGCTCTGATGGGTAGTTCAATCTATAACTTGATCATGGTTCGTTAACAATCATAGTTAGTTAATACCCTCTGGTAATTTGTTGAATATGGTCCATTTATAGTTGATTTAATATATTAAAGATTGTGATTTTCCGTAGAAAACTGTTAGTTTATCAGAGGGTAATAGGTCAATATAGATAATATAGTTGACTTATGAACCATAACTTGATACGCATAATAAGTTAATGATTAGATGATAGTTGATCTTAATAGTACAGTTAATCATTTAATCATTAGATAACAGTTGACATAGTTGATAACAAAATATATTTAATAGTTAATCATGGTCAACAAAAGTTGACAATCAAAGTTAATCATTATGGTTAGCAATAGTTGGTCATCATAGCTGATACGTTAACAATTAGATAAATATCTATTTATAATTTATAGTGTAATTCACACATATATATATATACTTAACACCGTTTAAGTAAACATTGTTAATAATCATGCTTAAAGATAGCAAATGATAGTGAAAAATATCGTTAATAATCAATAACCCAATATAGTTAGCAATCATTGGTAATAGATGGTTATAATAAGCCACTAACTAATAAGTACTAGATTAACTATTTTTAGCTTTGATCTAATTATGAATTAATAACCGCATAGTGAATAGTTGGATGATAGTTGATCTATATCAAATAATTGCCCACATAGCCTTACAAATGGTCACTTAATGTATACTTACTAGCCAAATACTTTGACTTCAAATACTATATATGTAGGTATATTCTCACGAAGTTAGAGCTTCTCTAGAATATTTCAGAGTTGTCTATAGCTCCGGACTTTAAAGCTGCCCACCTGCGGCAGATGAAGCCGTTTGGCATTGGTGTGATCAGTTCCGTTTTCCAACACCAACAGCCCAGGAACCGCAAATGGAAATTGTTGATTGTTTTGCTGATCATGGTGTTGAAAATGTAATAATAATAGTTAATAATAGTTAATAATAGTTAATAATCAATCATAGTTTGGTTACTGACCGGCCTTGCGGATATAAAGTCTGATCTCATTTTCCAGGCTGCCGGGCAGCCAAAGTTGCTGCTAAGCGTGGACAAAAATGGGATCAGTTGCGGCAGCAGCTTGCAACAGACCAAGGGTTACCTCAGTGTGAAGGGTCCCAAAAGTCATAGGCATTTCATAGGGCTGTCTCTCTGAATCCCCTTTGATTTGATTCATGATAGCTGACTCGCCATATTTTTGTTGCCATGGGCAAACGTTGGATTGTAGAATGGGACGTCATCAATCATGTCAATCCATTTCATAGCTGGTTGGTGGTTTGGAACATGAATTTTATTGTCCCATTCAGTTGGGACGAATAACCCCAACTGACGAAGTCATATTTTTCAGAGGGGTAGGCTCAACCCAGATAGGGATTTATATGCCCATATGCGGCCATGGATTTCCACTATTAGTGGGATGGAGGAGACGCCCATATTTTTGTTTCGATATCCCTCAATGTTAGTGCATGTATCCCGGATCCCCAGGATATCCAGTCTTGTTGGTTTTGAATAGTATTGCCCATATGTATATATATATATTTATTATTATAATATATATATATATATATTTATTATTATTATATATATATATTATAATAAATATATATATATTATAATAATAATAAATATATATATATATATATTATAATATATATAATATATATATAATATAATATATATATATATATAAATATCCAGATTGTTGGCTCTTTCTCCATTTATCCCTGTATATCACCATTAAATCCCCATGCAAGCACCATTAATCCCAATATAGCCCAATTCAATCCCATTTAAAATCCATTAAAATATTATTAATTGCCATAAAATCATCATTAATCCCATTTATTCCCATATGAAATTTTGCCAGCGCCCATAAAATCACCATTAATTCCCATGAAGATCTCATTAAACATATCATTTTTGGTGCGGCGCAGGCTGCGTGGAGGCAACCGTCCGGTTGATGAGGCACCTGTTGCCAGGGTATAGCCATGGCAGCACGCCAGGTGTTTCAGCACTGTGCAGTTCGAATGGATTGTGCATTTAGATTTAGATTAATTAATTAGATAGATAAACAGATAGACAGATAGATAGATGGATAATTAAATATAATTAAAATTAATATATATATATATATATATTAATTAATTTGATAGGAATAGATAAAACAGATAAGATTTGATTAGATTAGAATAAACGCTTATGAATGTTATCCCCATGATCACGAGTATCGAAAATTTATGGGATGACTTTACCCTGCACTTCCCTGCAGTTCCGACCGCCAGGAGCAGCAGGTGTGGAAGACACCCTTGGTGGACTTCCATGATTTTTTGTCACTGGTTTGGGGCTCCCAGGAACTGCCCTGCTGCGACTGCTGTTTCTGACAAGTGCCTGACGAGAGGGGAGAAGTTGGATCGGCCTCAAAAGATAGACAATGGCTAGCATTAGGACAAAGAAAACTGGCATCAAATCAGTTTGAATCTGGTTTCCGAGATTTGTTGTGGTACCCTCTGGTAATTTAACATAACTATGGAAAATCACCATTTTCAATGGGAAAATCCACTATTAATGGCAATTTTCCATAGCTATGTTAGTTTACCAGAGGGTAACTTCCCGGTTCCAGCTACCATGGCCGCTACCATGGCCTCTGCAAGCTTGCCAAGGCCAGGGCCTTGCAAGTGGAAGAGCTGGCAGAACTCCATGCCAGGCGGCCATGATATCCCCCCGTTATAACCAACCAAAAGACCAAAAGGGGGACTCCAAACATGTATAAAAATGTGACATACAAATAACTATTATATAACAACTTGCACATGTTTGACCATACCATGATTTTTAAGGGAGTTTCCTGCATTCAAATGTGATGCATTTCTTCGTCCCGTGAACCAAGTCCGGGAGCAGTTTTTGGATCGTTTTATGATCCAAAGATGCGATTGTTCGGTGATGTTCGACTGAGGTCCTCAATTCTGACTCCTCCAGCCGTGTGGGATCGGGTCTGTGTGAGACTGGGGTATAATTAGCATTAATTACCAGTAAAAAAAATGTGTGTGTGTGTTTTTTTTTAATGGGGCTACGCATGATTACTCCACTTGTTTTGAGTGGTTTTCCCCTAAATCAAATGTTGAGACATGGGACCATGTGAGCGCCAGTGTAAACCGGGCAGGTTTCGTTTGGTGGACAAAGATCAAGACGGGGCTGTCATCGAAGGCCATGGGTCAAGCCTGGATGAAGACAGCGTGTTTTGCCACCTGTGGGAACACCTACTAAGCATCATGTTTTTCATATGTAATCTTGGGCATCCAAGATTAAACAATGGAGCTTGAGAGGGCCCCCCTTGGGTTGGAATGATGGTTCTTGGGTGGTTTGGTTTGTCGGATTGTCGGTTTCGGATTTCAAAACCAGCATCGAAAGCATCCACGCACCAGATATCACTGAACACTCGTACCCGTAGTAGTGAATCTCGAACCCGAATTGTCATTACCCTTTCGCGGTTGACTTGGGCGGGGGTACAATTTTCATAGCAGATGATCACTTTTTGGAGGTAGCCCTTTGTTTATTCACCAAGGTTCCCTATTTTGGGGTTGCCAACGCAGGTGAGTTCCTATCTCTTCTCCCAGATGATGTGTTCGGAGCTCGGTCTCGCTGGTTTCTGTTTCGGATAATTTGGAGTACAGTAAATTAACATAGACCCTGAACATAGCCGTTTATTTCAGAAACGAAATCTTCCAACATGTCCACCCCCTTATTTGGCCGGGTCATGCAGGGTCTACGTTGGGGGGATGGGATTTGTTCATCTTAAGGCATGCTGAAAGAAATGGGAAAACCGAGCAAAAAAAAACTTGTAGACGAAGATAATCAGATATGTGCCCAAACATTGCCACTCTTTCCAATCGAGAAACTCGATTGGAGTTTCTTGTTAACAATGTACCTTATAAAATATAGTGATCTGATTAGTTGGATAATACCTTACAGAGTTTCTTGTTAACAATACCTTCTAGACTTATAAAATATGGTGATCTCATCAGGTGATAAGGCTATTGTTTAATCCCTTATATCATGAGACATATCTCATTACTGTAGTGGGATAATCCCTTATAGAAAAACCGCTGAATTTGGACGTCATCAAGTGATCCCATGAGCGTTCGCCGTTCGCCAGGGCGCTGCTCATCTGCGGCAAAGTGCGCACGCTTTTGTCAGACGTTCCCCGGCGGTTTGGACTGGGGATGGTTCACCCGAATGGTGGCCCAGTCATGACCAGAGGGAATTCCTATCTGACCCGAGTGATGATGATTATGAATGATTATCAGGTATTATGGCCATATGGCTGATGATCCATATACATGATTTTTTAAACATATGATTTTTTACGTGGCTTAGTTATTACAAAACCCCCAGTCGTGTTTTACCGATGGACAACGATCGGTGCAGACTTGTCCTGATGGTTGGCCCTGCTGGCTCATCCCAAGGCACAGATCCAGACAGGGCAACTGCTGTCGTTCGATGATGTCTTTGATGTCCTGAGCCTCTGTCGTTTGGGGCCAAGATGGGACACAGATCAGTCGTTTGCAGCTGCCCCCTGGCAAACTTTAAGGGTGCACTGTAAATGGATATGATATTTGATATGAATGATGTTGAATCATTCGTTGAATCGTATAGTTTTGCCAATACATTTAGTGTCATTTAAAGTAGCGCACAAGAGCAAACAAGGCTTCAGGAGGCTCTGACATGATTGTGAGCACTCGGCAAAAGATCTTCACATTCCGAACCCCAGATGGACAACAGTACCATCCTTTTGTGCGATCATAGTGCCACTTGCGAAAAACAATTGATAAGAAGTTGTGAGTCGTTGTTTTTTTGTTTGCGAATTCAATACTGCGGAAGATGGTCACATTTTTGGAGATACTTGTTTAAAAAAATAAAAACATCTTCTAAACCCTTAGCCCTAAACCATCCCCAAATTTGGGTTTACAGCAACCCCCCAAAAAAGATAGAACAAGTAAATCATCACCATTTTGGCTATAATCAACCCCAAACTGTGGGGGATGGTTTAGGGTTACTAGCATTATATTAAGATACGATTAACCATTGAATTATTGGTGGAAGTTATTACGACTATTGATTTTTTGGTGGACACTCTTCACCATGCAGTATTAGTGGAAGATACTATTATGTAAACTGGTTGGTGGTTTGGAACATTTTTTATTTTTCCATACATTGGGGAATAATAATCCCAACTGACTTTCATATTTTCAGAGGGGTAGGCATACCACCAACCAGTAGTGGAAGATACTATTACCCTCTGGTGAACTAACATAGCAATGGAAAATCACCATTTTTAAAGGGAAAATCCACTATAAATGGCCATTGTCCATTGCTATGTTAGTTCACCAGAGGGTATCCAAAATTTTGGAGTTTACCAACCGCACCATTTTTGGTGGGGTTACTATGGGTGGCCCAAGGTACCACCAGCAACTTCACCAACTTCGAAGTGGCCGAATTGAAGGAGGTCCTGGAGCTATCCCATGGAGGTTTCTGTTGTCATGGTACCACCAGTCGTATCCAAGTGATGGATGACCATGGCGGAATATTGAAACCCATGGTGAACTGGGGATAATTGGGGATATGATATTTTAAGAAGCCACCATAGAAGTATATGATCATTAGAATATATGATCAGTACAAGTACAATGCTGATGTTTTTGATGTTTATGCATAATTGACACCATTTCTATATGAGAAATATTATATATAATATGACTCATTTCATAATTTCATAATGGTCATTTTTGCAGTTCTTTTGGTAATAATGACTTTAATGGGAATCTGAATAATACGGTGAGAGTGCCCCTATATAATCAGAATGAAACCCAGCGTCCGCAAGACAATTTTTGCAGATACTTGTGTTGGAAAACTTCATTGTTGGTTGTCAGACTGGCATTGTTGGGACAAAATGACTTGGTTGGTTTGCTGCACCACTAGTCATGAGTTTATTGAATTTGGGGACCACATCTCACCAAGAATCCAGAAACTGATGGAACCTTTTCCCGTCATCATCACAGTAACATACAGTAACCCTTTCAAACTGCAGAGTGCTGCTTTTGCACCCGCTAGCGTTGATGAATCCAATTGTTTCTTTTGTGAAATGCCAGGGTTCTCCCAGAATTCCCACGCATCAACAAGCATTCTGTGTGCTGCTGGGCATTTTTAACATTTAGATCAGTAGGGAATAGATTGCATATGAAATTCACACATATATATAATTGTATATAATTGTATATAATCATATATATAATGTATATATATATGCAGAGAGAGATATATGCATACATACATACATACATACATACATACATACATACATACATACATACATACATACATACATACATACATACATACATGCAAGAATATTATATATATATATATATATTACATCATTTATAGACATGCGTCTTTGGCACACCGTTTGCGATATGCCTAACGTTGAAAGACCACTTTTGGGCTCTTTCGAACAGCCTCGCTTTTCAACGGTGAGGCCTTTCGAAGGTTTGATCAGGACAACTCGGGAAAGATCGATGTGTTGGAGATGGTGGGGATGTGCCTTGGCCCATCAAATGGTTCCCATTCCAATCGCAACAGCTGGGACAGGAATGGAACTGATGGTTGGTGCGATATTTTGTGCGATCTTTTGAAGTTTCTTGCCAGGTCCAGATCTTTAATCTGTCTGGCATGAGCTCTACTCACTGGTGGTTTGTTGTGAACCCCTTTTGAACGCTGCGAGGCTGAGTGAACAAAATGATGAATGAATTCAGGTGGCCATAGCACGTTTGACATATTAAAGTGTACATGATTATAGACTTGCTCGCTTGGTGAATCATGACAATTTTGGTTGTGGTAAAAATGACGTCCTGCAGTCCTCCCACTAAGACTAAAACAACCCCCCCTATTTTTTTTAAAAAAAAACATGTTTTAATGGACTTGGTGAATCATCGAATATTTGGGGATGGGTGAAAACCTATTAATTATTACATATTATTACCATATTTTGGGGAATAACCATCCACCAACCAGCTATTTTAGGGTGCCTAGTGCCCCAGGGTTTTGACTCATAGCCATTTGCCAGTCATCAAGCAGAGACAAGCCCCATGTGGGATTCAAAATGGAGCGTCCTGGCCATTCTGAGGCTGTTATACATGGGTTTCGACAGCTCCTTGGAGCAGGTTCACGAGCACCTTGGCACCGACAGCGTTTTCAATGATCAAAGATATTTGGGATTACCTGGCCTGGTAAACATACAAAAAACTATTGAAAATGGCCATAGAAATAGTGGATTTACCCATTAAAAAATTGTGATTTTCCATAGCTATGTTAGTCTACCAGAGGGTATCCCACTCTAGTTTGCTCCTTTGGGATTATCCGATGATAATTAACCATCATGGCAAACTGGCCGCTGGTTTTGCTTCATAGTTGGGGTGATCCTCAATGATTAGTGATCCTGAAACCAGTTTCCACAGCGATCTCCGTTTTGAAAATAGCATAACTCCGCACGAGAAGCTGGTACAAAAGCCTGGTGATTCTCAAACGGCTCAGAGTGCAGGCACAGCACTTTCAACATGATACCTTTTACCAGAAACGGGCAAAACAATCTTCATCAAGCGCCACGATGAAGATGATTACATCCAATACATCACTACATTAAAGGTCCAGAGCAGCAAATGACATACAACTTCGTCGCACAGCAGAAGATATCAAATCATCTAACATCAGCACGTTCTATCCACGTGCTATCCACGTGCTATCCACGTGCTATCCACGTGCTTGCCATTGTGCCATCGTCCCATCCGTGTCGTTGCGAGCCATGGCGACCATCGTCCAAGGTGCACGACCGCGTTGGGCAGACATCTGTGATTCCTCCCAGGAGCAAGAAGCTCAACGGCAGTGGATGGAGAGTTCGGTGGATGATATGTAGATATAGGTAGATATTATAGGGTGATGGGACATGTGTAGATGATTGATGATGATTGTAGATGTATTCTCCCACAATTACATACAGTTACAGTATAGTAAGTATTAACTATATATATTGTGTACATATATAAATATATATATATATATGTGCACAATCATGCGATGATCCTCTAGAAACATGCTGAATTTGGTGGCCCAACCTGGGATGGTGGACTAATCAAACATGGCGATAGACAATGCACCAGTTGTCCGAAAAATCGTCCGATTCATCAACTTCCATTAAAAAGGCCATGTTCATTGCCGAGCTGGGCTTTCCCCAGCTGCAATTTTCGGGACCCCATGGCTTTCACGTCGCGACCGAAGCCTGGAATGATGGTTCGTTGTATATTGGGCAATTCTCCAACAAAAAACATAATATAGCCTTTTTAATGTTACGTTAGTGAATTTGTTATAGTTTAGCCATATTTTTTGTATGTTTACCTAAGGATCCTTATGCTAGATCTTCCCCAGGTTTCCCCCAGGGTCTAGTGCCCAGCCAAGGACTCGCAGCCAGTGGAAGCTGTCCTTCTCCACCAGGAGCGCTGCGTTTGGGTGAAGCCATACATGTTCCTACGACCTCACTGAGACCTCACTGGAAGAATGGTTGATAAGAGGAATCATCCCACAATGGCCGCAAGTTTGAGATTAGTGAATTATTATGATTTGCCCAGATGCATGAATAATATTGAACAATGATGAATAATTATTATATTAATATATATGCATATTTATTTATTTAATAGTTATACAAAAATATTTACAGAGAAAGAGAGAGGAGTAGTTACACACACTGACACATAATGCATTTAAGTGTATGTCAGCGGCTCCAAGTCCAGCAGTTTTCCCGGCCGCCAACTAGATACTGCATGTTCCGCGAGAGATAGATTGGTGCAGAGATATGTATATATCTATATGTATATGTTACTATATATATAATTAGATGGGTAGATAGGACTATCAGGTGACAGCCGCATGTTTTATATGGACACCTTGCAGTGAAAAAAATGCACCATATGAATCCATAAGTTCGATGTGTTTTCAACAGTGAATTATGCAGTAAAAGAGATGATCAGACTAGATGTTGACATGCTGGAATGCTGGATCTACAAGAAAATAATGTATATATACTGTATATATATATATGTTATGTATATATATATAAGTATATATATATATATTATTATGTATATATGTATATAAATATGTATGTATATATATATATATCAGATGATATATCAACGTTGTGGACATATGTGGCAATGTTTGATTCACCAATCATGGGAGGACTCGTATCAAGAGTCCCAAGCCTCCCAGGTGCCGATCAATCGGAGTGAAGGGTTCGGTGAGACTTAGGAAAATGGTGGTTGAATGGTGGTTTAATGGGGTTTGATGGGGTTTAATGGGGTTTAATGGGGTTTAATGGGATTTAATGGGATTTAATTGGATTTAATGGCACTGATTTACTCAATGGTTTGGTTTTGTTGGGAAAATCTTAACCGGAAACCATGGTTTTTACCATGAAGATCATGGGGGTTTCCGGTTTCAATGTTCCCTTAAACCAATCCATTGAAGGTTGCTATTCTATGCTATTCTCAAGTTTCATCACAAGCTCGAAACAATCGCCATGAGGGTGAAGTGCATGCCTCGAACATCCTCAAAGCAGCCAAGTTGAATGTGAATCAGGTCACATCATCAAATGGCCGCCTGCCTCATAGCCTCATAGAAACCTATATCATATATCTTATATATATGGATTCATATTAAGCCAGATAAGCCAGCCTATGCGGTCCATTTGACATACAGTGCCCCAGCTGTCGCAGGTTTGCACCCAAGGCGGCTTGTGCGACCAGCTGCAGAGCAAGACGGAACTGGAAGACACCCAGGCGCAAGATCGGAAAGCTGGCATCGTGCGACGAAAACACCTGGAGGAAATTAGTGATGATGAGGACACGCACTGGGACCCTGGGAAAGGAACGGGGTGCTTAATATGTGAAGGGTATTTTGCTCGTTTTGCACATTGGACGATGTCTCAGCTTTTGCTCGTGTTGTAGGGTATTCACATGTATTCACCAAGTTAGTTGAAACATTGTTGGGGTTTCTAACTGAATTTAGTTTCTACATGAATTCAGAATCCATCATGTTTCAGTTGTTTCAGCCAGCCTCCGATGGCTGGTGACATTTAGTGAATCGAGCTGTGAAACCATCCACTGAAGGACGGACCTGCACGGGGTCAGAAGCGCACGGCTGCTGAGACTGCATCGAATTGATGGCAGCCCATGGCCATGGAAAACCCTCGGGGTTCTAACAGGTACATCCTTAACTGTTACATATCGTCGTATCGTTTAGAACGGGAGACCGTGCTTCACACTGAAGGACTTTGCCTGACATTGATTCTTGCATTATCTTGTAGAAAGTGGCCAAGCGATAAAAAGCGATGTAACACAAGGAAGTTAGAGTATCAAACAGTCTGGAACAGGTTTCGAATGCATTTTGTAAAGAAGATGGAACAGCTCCGCTCAAAGAACTTCAGCTGTTGCTACAAGAAACCAGCCAAAAGGGTGAGCAGTTAGCAGTTGGCAGTTCAACCCTGATGGTTGAAGGATTGTATGATGTTGTCGTTGTGTGTGGTTCTGGTTCTTGGTTTAGTGACTGGCTTGGATCGGTGATTTATGATGCTTGGAGCCCGCAAGAGGTACAATCACCAAGGGTAGCCAAGCCACATCCCTACATAAATCACATGGGACCTCACTGTTCGAGAAACCTGAACAAGGATGGCTAGGATAGGAGCAACCTCCAATATTGCCCATCATTAGCTATAATTCATTTTATATAATTCAGAGTTGGGAATCATTCCCAGAATTCAAGCATGTTTTTCCTCCCTGTAGTAGGACGATGATATTCCCAGACAAGATGAATCCAGCTGGGAAAAAAAACTATTATTGACAACGTGATCATATACCCTGTCAGGTAAGAAATAAAACTAATCAAAACTACAATTTTCCTGGATAACCCCACCACATCCCATCAATCCCATATCTATCCCCAGTAAAATCTTATTAATTCCATACTTAGCCACCAGAAAATCCCTTAATCCATCCTTAACCCCCATAAATTCGCGTGAACCCCTCATTAAATCTCATAAAATCACCCCAAAATCCCAGAAACCCCCATAAATTCCCATGACAATTCCCCTTAAAATCCCATGAATTCCCATTAAAATCCACCCAAGCCCCAGGTCTTGACCACGCCCGCCTCCTCCCCAGCCACCAAGCGCCAACGCTCCTTCCCGGAGGGCAGCCCTGCGGCCACAGAGCCTTGGCGACCTGGGAGTCGTCGATTTTGGATGGGAATATACTGGGAATATGTTGAGATTAGTGGTGATTAGTGGTGAACAACTATACTGGGAATAATTATTTATAGTGATGAGTGGTGATTTAATGGATCTTCTGGTGATTTTTATGGAAATGTTAGCTATCAAGCATGATATTTATGAGTGATTTGTTTTTTTCCAATCCCATTCTGCCAATACAAAAAAAAAACAGAAACCACGGTTCAGTAGCGGAGTTACGCAGCCATTCGGGACCATTTCGGGACCATGGAGGTGGTGAGTTTTGTGCCTAAAAATCCTCAGGTTCTGGACCCAGCCAGTCCTGGACCTGTGGCTTGTCGGCTTGGCGGAGATCGAAATCTCCATGGAAAATCTGGAGATTTGGGACGACCTTCTTGGGATGAGATTTCTATCATTTCTAGTGATTTCTATCATTGGATTTGATATGATTTGATATATTTGATATATCGACTATAATGATACTCAACTAGGATATCGACAAAAGCTAGTTACCCTAGTTGTTATTTTTGGGATTATTCAGCTCTTTGGGGTGATCAATGCATGTCCCTAGTGTTTTCTATCATTTATTGACCTATTGGGGATGATCCCAATTGACATCGACTATGACCTCAGCTACGTCACTGGAATGATGGTTAGATGGGGTTCTCCAGAATCCCCCATAGCTGGCTGCAAATTTCAGCTTTCAGGCTGAGCAATTTTCTTACTGGTGCGTTTTACGTAGGGAATGGATGGGTTGCTGGGGGTTGCTGGGATGATTATTGATGGTTATTGTGGATCATTCCCTCATTCCCTACGTTTAGCACAAGTAAGTTTTTTGTCAGCCAGATAGATGTCCTTTCCCACTTGCTTCGTTTATAAGGAGCACCCCCAATAAACAACCAGTAGATGATCATGTATGGTATATAACTGGCCCATTTTTCCCCAAAGGACAATGTTGTTGATTCATGTTTAAAATAGGGTTTCCAGAAATCACCTACAGTTTTGTCGGCAGATGTATGTATATGCACTGATAACAGAGTAGAGAAATACATTTACCAACAAATGAAATGGGGGAAAATACTGATATAGTACCACAAAAAAAATAGAACAGTCATTGATCAAAATTTCAGTGGGATTCTACATTTCTACCTTTTCTTTTTGGCTGGGTTACTATATCAAGAGACAATAACACCATCCCCATCCATCCCCCAAATCAACATAGACCCTGCCAAATGGGGGTCGAAAGCATCCATGACGACTGGATGATGGCTAGGGTACCCATGACAAAACGGAAGCCTCCACATGTGTTAGGCGCCTGCCAGCGCTGCCATGGAGACTGAAGAGGCGACATATGTTGGACATCAGTTGGCCGCATCTTCGAACCTCTATGGGAAATATATATGGGACAATATGGGACACATATAGGACATGTATGGCTTTGGAAGCCCGAAAAGATAGAAACAGAATTAAAAACACAGCATTAGAATCATCATGAAAGTGATTTGTGTAGAAAGAAGGGCAGAATTCTAGGAATGTGTTTGCATGATGGATGGTGAGCAGCTCTGGTTTGCTCATGTTTCATAATGCAGTCGTGGATGTTACATTTTAGCCTATTGCAATAGGTGGTTCTAGACGACCCATGTGTTGGGGATCAGAATCCATCACCTTCTCTACTAGGGAGGATCCTCCGACTTGACCGCAAATCAACACACCTGGAGCTTCAATTGTCACAATTTCTCCGCAAATAGCATTTCTTGCTTGAATTAACGATGATTCTGACTTTTGATTCTCGCTTGTGCCCAAGAAACGCTCGTTTGCATCCTGACGGACGGGTATTTCCTTGGAAGATGAGCTCAGATGTTTGGCTTCATTGCGCTCCATTGGAGCAAAACTGCTCAAAGAGCATCAGATTTTCAACTGAGATCAAATGATCAGTTACTAATTTACTTGTTTTTTTTGTATTCATATCAGATGTGTTGGGACGGGTAGCCACCACCAGACTCACTTCCCAGGTGGAGATCGCTGTCGACAATCCCACTGCGGCTGAGGCTGAGGTGGAAGGAGGAGCAGCTGGGTTGCAAGGATTCCCTCTATGTTTTTTTTGTGGATGGGTCCAATCCTTTTGTTACCATAATTGGAGGATTGGAGGGCACATTTACATAAATTCACTGTCTCTGTTTTTAGGGTTTTCGAAGGGCACCAGAGTTTTGACTCATAGCCATGTGTCACAGATTCAGATGTTTTTCTCTTTTACCTGGATGCCTTTTGGGGGGTGGGGGCACCACAAAACGTATATATTTAAGTGTTTTTTGCACAGAGGTCAACCGATAAATTCATAGATCAATGGATAAATGATGTATGATATGTATGCATTCATCTCCATTTACTGATTGGTGTTTTCTCTTTTTTGGTGGTTACTATAATAGATAAATACGCACATCCATCCATCCATACAGCCATCCATCCATACGTACATGCAGACATACATACATAATCACATACATAGATACATACATACAAGCATGCCTACATGCATGCATGCATCCATACATCCATACATCCATACATCCATCCATCCATCCATCCATCCATCCATACATCCATACATCCATACATCCATACATCCATACATCCATACATCCATCCATCCATCCATCCATCCATCCATACATACATACATACACCACAATCATACCACATGTCTTACTTGTTTTTTAGATCAAATGATTATTTACTTGTGTCTTTTTGATCATGCAGCTATTCATATCAGATGTCTTGGGACAGGTAGCCACCACCAGACTCACTTCCCAGGTGGAGATCGCTGTCGACAATCCCACTGCGGCTGAGGCTGAGGTGGAAGGAGGAGCAGCTGGGTTGCAAGGATTCCCTCTATGTTTTTTTTGTGGATGGGTCCAATCCTTTTGTTACCATAATTGGAGGATTGGAGGGCACATTTACATAAATTCACTGTCTCTGTTTTTAGGGTTTTCGAAGGGCACCAGAGTTTTGACTCATAGCCATGTGTCACAGATTCAGATGTTTTTCTCTTTTACCTGGATGCCTTTTGGGGGGTGGGGGCACAACAAAACGTATATATTTAAGTGTTTTTTGCACAGAGGTCAACCGATAAATTCATAGATCAATGGATAAATGATGTATGATATGTATGCATTCATCTCCATTTACTGATTGGTGTTTTCTCTTTTTTGGTGGTTACTATAATAGATAAATACGCACATCCATCCATCCATACAGCCATCCATCCATACGTACATGCAGACATACATACATAATCACATACATAGATACATACATACAAGCATGCCTACATGCATGCATGCATCCATACATCCATACATCCATCCATCCATCCATCCTTACATACATACATACATACATACATACATACATACACCACAATCATACATACACCACAATCATACATACATACATATGGAAATCCTGACCCAACTGGGTCTTATCCAAACAGCAACTGGATCTGATTGCCCGCTACTCCAGAGCTGTGGTGGCTCTAAAACCGACCGCCTTCGTTGCCATGATTTGGCGCGAGATATCTGATGATGAAAGTGAGGCAAGGGATGAACAGTTTGTAACAATCTGGGATGTCTTGAAATACAAACTTTCCCATCAGGAGCTTAACCTTTCGGAGAAACAACTGGACTATGTGTCATGCGCCAAGCCAAGCACTTCTATGACCGTGCGGGATCCTTATTTGCAAAAAAGGTTGTTCGCACACCTGGCCCATATGTATCACCACAGCAGCATTCTCTATCTAAGGACTGTCGGACTTTTTCGACGATTGGGGCGATGAAACATCCTTCGGCTATGTGAGCGACTGCAGCGAGGCTGAAACCATGGGAAACATATTCTTCCCTGGTACGGTCTGTTTACTATATTCTTTAGCACAGCCAACCTAAGGTAGTGGCATTGACACCCCTTTGATTGCCTTGAAAGAGCTCTTCAAATGTGCTGGCCAAGAGCTGTTGGTGGACTACCTGCAGCTCGACTCAGCTTGGATGTTTCGTAAATATCAAACCGATGTTTTAGAGTTTCAGATATAATATAATTTATAATGATATATATTTGCAAACTTAGGTCCTACAGTGAATGTGATGCATCTGCCAGACGCTTCCTGGAGAAGAACCATGAGACCCCAAAGCAGTACCTCGTCGCAATTTTTTTGGTGCTAGATGGTGCTAGACATAGATAAATTCCGGTTAAACACGATTCCAATAATAGCCATTTGTGTTTCCAAGGTGGTACTCCGACATCTCTGAAGTTGATTGTCAGGCGCTGCACGAAAAGGCCATCTTGTCGTCTTGTTGTGACACTGTCATTCTTTGTATTTCCCAAACAAAGCAGTGATCATATTCAGTGTTTGTTGAATTCTCCTCGGCAGGCAGCTTTATGGACTGCGGGATTTCCTTGCACTCCATATTCTATGCTTGGCTTACGGAGATTGCTGCATGACGAGAACGCCCAGCAACTCTTTGAGACTATCAGACATCTGAAGACGGCAGAGCCGGCAGTTTCTTGGCTACAAAAAAAAGAAACATGATGACCGCCAAAATCAAATTCTTATAGATTTCCCCCTGGTCATGTGTCCCTGATCTCTCTGTAAGGGAGCAGTGCTGGAGAATGTCATGGGCTTCTTGAAAGTGATCCCGAAAATTCTCAAGCTGCTGGCTGAAAATTTGCCACAGTAACTTTGGCTTTTATTCTACCCATTACTTAAACACAAAAATGCTGATGTTCATTGGTTCACAGAATGTTTCACATGTCCCTTATGCTCAGGTACCACATCGCTCACAGGCAGCTGGAAGCGCTACTTGGTAGCACCCATATGCCATATGCATTAGCAAATGGAGCTGGCACATACTTAGTAGTTTGCTCAGGTCTGACTATGGCTCCAGTGTTGCACGGAGGCGGATCTTCATCTTCTTGGTGCATCGTGAGGTGATGCGTGACATCGACCTTCAAGATCTAGTGAATCATATGTCCCAATGTATGATGATGGCTCCAAAGTATTCCTGGTACCTTGGTTTTTTAGATTCTGATGCAAACTACATCTCATGACTGCTGCCAACCTTGGGCATCTAGCTCAGGCAAGATCTACTCTTCCCTCGCGATCACTTCTTGGTGAAACAGGAGCTGGAAAAACGACACCGAAGAGGAGTACTTGACGAATGTGCAAAGAAGCCTGTCTACTTTCAGGTTAATCACATTCTGCTCACAAGTTGCTTTTCAGTTTTTCATGCTTTCCCTCTTAGGAGAGCTCACAGGAAATGGCCTAAATTGCATCGTGAATGGGCCAAACAACAAGGTATCAAAGTGGCTTGGTTGAAAAAGATTTTCTTCGAGCATACCTGCCTGATTGATTGGCTGCTAGGTGAGTGAAGCTGCCGGAGCTTTCAAGCGTCTGTATCCCGATGCAGTTGGTCAGATCACTTCACACAGGGAACTGGAGGCTTGTTGAACCACATGAACCACATGAGGCTTGTTCACACATGTTGGCAATGATGTCTGTTTATTTTTCTTTATGGCCTGACAACATGCAGGCATTGGATTTGATTGTCACTGCAAAGGGGCCTTTCGCAGTGGCAAATACTTCACAGTCGCTGCCTCGCATGCCTGTCATCTATGAGGGGGCCCCTTTGATGACCCTGACGTTTTGCCCTCAATTGTTTGCAGTGTGCTATCTTGCATGTTATATCTTCAGCTCCGCCATGCTTCAAACTAATCAAGGCCGGGCGGCGCGTATCTGCTCACATGCCAGCAACGCTTTTTGTTGGGACACTTGGCTGCCTCAGCAAGTCAATGGTTCACAATTTGTTTAACAAGGAAAAATCCAGTTGTGGGACACTGGGAAGTTACCCAGGAGCAGAATGCATGCTGCTGATGGGGGTCAATCTTGAAGATATGGATTTCGAGATGCACTTCAGCAACAGTGATCCTTGCTTGCAAGCAATTTGAAATTTTTTGAGAATTGAATCAAGCCATCCCCTGCCCCTTACCTGTAATTAAGGAGTTGCACCGCCTCAGCGGAAATGCGATTTCAATGCGATCTTTGTATGTGGTACTTTCAACGATCCTCTTGGCCATGGACCCAATTAAGCTTCGAGGGTATCTCAATGGATGATAAATCCATGCAGTGCTGATGACAGCGGTTCGCCGGCAAAAAAAAAGTGCAGAAACCATCTGGCTGAAAGCCATTCCTGGGGTCCTCTGTCGCTATACTGCTATGAGAACAACTTCGGAATTGGCTACATGAAATCTATGGGTATCCGAAAATTTCTGTGCTCAAGCGTTTGTATTGTAAATTTCTATCAACGGTATCCATTTGAAAAGAAACAAAGTGCAACTGCTTCAAATGAACACAACAATTAGGCCAAACAAACATAAGACACAGGGAGGCAGTAATCCCGATAATCAAAGCAATCCCAGAAAACCAAGTTGCTTTGATTCTGAACGTTTGCAATGGGTGTGCTTGGCCGCTATGATGATGCCCAAGACAAATTGCTACCTGCCGGTGCTTGGCGGTATGATGAAACTGATTCAGCATCGCAATCTGGGGAGAGCCAGGATGAGCACCTTGCCTGTGATTTCTTGAATTTTCTTAAACTTCCCAAATCGGCTTTTGGGGCTAAGTGAGGGTTGCCTACAACTCAGGGGCTCATCGGGTTCCTCTAGCAGCTCATCAAACGATGAAGCTGGCGTTGGCTCGAAATTGACACAGTCCACGGGGGAAGTGGACATGAAGCTTAGCGTTCTACAATCATTGCATGCTAGAGATGAGACTATGGATCGCTCTTGCTACGCGAGAAACGGGAAGAATTCCAAGAGACTCAAGGAGTTACTTCGCTCACCCCCATGTGAATGCGAGTGCAGGGTGGAGTTCAACTTGCTACGTGAAACCTGCAAAGCATTCTGGGCTCTTCCAAAGGAGAGCCAGGACGCCCTTCTTTGGAGTCTGCAGTCAGGATCTGGGTCACGGCGGAAAAAATGGTCAATTGAAGGCTCGTTGTCATATCATTTGTGCTTCAATTCTTTTCTTTTATCCCCTGACAAGTTTAGAGTTTGAGGGGTAGTCGTTACAGTAACAGTAGCGCATGTCATTTCCCTGTCTTAGGTGTTCAGATTTGTCGCACTGCCTGGTTGAAGTATTTGGGAATTGGGAAGCAGCGACTACAAAGAACCAAAAAACGCTTCAGGGGCATTGATGAGCGCACACTTACGCAACAACGTTCCCTGCTCCAAGCAGTAGGTTTCTATTTTTTGGAATCATTTTAGGCAACTGTTTGAAACCAGGTCAGTTTTTGGTTTACCACGCTGAGACACCATGAGGTGATGAAAGCCGCGCAATTTCAGAACAGACTGCATCCGTTCATGGATTCTTTGGGCATCTTTATTGGAGCGCTGCAGAATCTATGCCGGTTCAGTGTCTGCCAACAGTTCAGAAAAATCCTTCAGTGAAGTTGCAGCGTTGTTGGTTTAGTGGACCTCTCTATAGTTTCTGTTCTTATTATTTTTCTGGGGTTCAAGTTGCCTTTGAGGTTCCAATCAACTTCAGCACTTGCCCAAAGCGATGAGCAACTCAGAGAACAACTGCAAGCCCGACTAGTGGAGCAACGGCTTCTGGGGGCAACCAGGCAGGTAACAGAACTTCGGCCTCACAATGGATTACCTCAAAGAGAACTTCCTCCTGGTACAGTTTCCTCTTTATACCTTATGTATTTGGGGTATGCCAGGGCTGCTGACAGAACACCTGCAGGGCGTACAACCTTCTACAATGCCTGGCAGCAGTGGAAAATTTGCATGAAATTTCGACCAGAGACATCCCATTC